AGCCTGAGCAACCTTGTGAAGCTCTGTCTCAAAAAAAAAATAGAAAGGGATAGGTATGTACCTCAGTGATAAGAACCCCTGGAATTAACCTTCAGCACTGCAAACACACAAGTAAACAAAAACAAACAAAAAGCAGCATGATACTGGTATAAAAAGAGACACATAGACCAATGGAATAGAATGGAGAGCCTAGAATTAAATCCACATACCTATGGTCAACTGATCTCTGAGGAAGGGGCTAAGAATAAGCCTTGGGGAAAGGATAGTCTTTCCACTTTTCAATAAGTGGAGCTAGGAAAATTAAATATCCTCAAGCAGAAGAATGAAACTAGATGCCTATCTCTCACCATACACAAAAATCAGCTAAAATTGATTAAAGATTTACATGTAAGACTTGAAACTATAAAACTACTACAAGAAAACAGGCACAATGCTTTAAGACATTGGAATGATTGAAGGTTTTTTGGATAATAGTTGAAAACATAGATGTCAAAAGGAAAATTATGGAGTTATAGCAAATTAAAAAGCTTCTGCAGAGCAAAGGAAACAAGGAAGAATATATAAACCACAAAATGGTAGAGAATATTTGCAAACTACACATCTAATAAAAGTTTAATAAACAGAATTGGTAAGGAACCTTTGTGATTCAATAAGGGAAAAACTATTCAAAATTGGGCCATTGACTTAAATAGACATTTCTGGAAAAAGATATATATATATATATAAATGTTCAACATCACAAATTATCAGGAAAATGCAAATAAAAACCACTACATGATAGATACCACCTCACTTTGATTAGAGTGAACAGTATCAAAAAGACAAAATGTAGCAAGTATGAAGTTGGGAAGAAAAAAAAATTCTTACACACCATTGGTGGAAATGTAAATTAGCAGTTCCATCATGCTATTATGGAAAAAAGTACAAAGCCCCTTTAAAAGTTAAAAGTAGAATGCCATATGACCCAGCAATTCTACTCTTAGGTATATACCAGAGAAATGAAATCATATGTTGAAGATATACCTGAACTCCCATGTTTATTTCAGCACTGTTCACAGTAGTCTAGAAATGAAATCATCCTAAGGGTTCATTGACTGATGAGTGGATAAAGAAAATGTGATAGATACACACAATGGAATACTATTCACATAAACTGGAAGGCAGGGCTAAGTATGGTTATCTTTGGATCTTTCACATACAAATTTAATTTTGTATGTGAAATATATTGATATATTAAATTAAATTTAATTGATATATTAAATTTAATTTTTAACACTTTTTACTTTCACAGTAAAGTGTTAAAATTAAATTTAATATATCAACTAGTGAAATCCTCTCCTTGGTGATAACATGAAGAGGACTGAAATGAAACATGCCGGACACACAAAGAAAAATACCACATGATCTTACTCATCTTAAAAATGGAATCTTAAAAATGTTGACCTCACTAGAAGCTTAGAATAGAATGGTGGTTACCAGAGTCTGGGGAAAGTAGCGGGGTTGAAGAACCAGGAAAGTTTGGTCAACTGATACTAAGTTATAGTTAGGTAAGTTCTGATATTTGCAGTAGGGTAACATAAGATATTAATAATGTTTTAATGTTTCAAATAAAGAAAAGATATTAAATGTTTTCACCACAAATGATAAATATTTGAGGAGACAGATTTGCTTACCTTGCTTTGACCCTTATATAATGTATACTTATATTGAAGTATCCATGGTACTCTCCATAAATGTGTACAATTTTATGTATCCATTAAAAATGAAACAGGAAATCATCAATGTAACAATGAAATAATCAACAAATGAATACTATGAAGTATTTGTAGATAAAACCTATTAAGAGTAATTCATTTCTACCCAGTGAAACACTTTGCTTTCAAATATGGAACAGTGAAAAATCATACCCATTTTCTAATTCCTCTATGAGATCATTCTGGTACCTACTTTCAGAATAAAAGATAAGAACATGATTTATTATATTTATTATATATCTATATTCTTCTAACTTATGCTAATTTATACTATACTAATCTGTACTAATTTTAATCTATTATACCAATTTTCAATGGTCTTGCAAATAAAATTATCTATAATTCAGTTAATTTTTAGTGATAAATAATGCTGGTTATAAGAAATTCATTAAAAGATAAAAGTAGTTTCTGTTTTCATAGTAAAAACATAAGAATGGGTTACTGGTCAACTACAGATTAAACATTATCATTCTTTATTCAACATACATCTAATGATACCTGACATTTTAGTTGTACTTATTACAAATCAGGACAGTTTAATAATATCAGTCAGTATTATTTTCTCATTTGCTGTTAGATCACAAATGAGAAAATATCACATAGGCAATGTTTAGCCATCTAGCCAGCAAACGGGAAAATAGAACCTAGGCCAAGAGTCTTCCATTGGTACTCAATCAAGTCTAATTATTTATTGTCTTCTGTCTGGGAAGTCCCATAGAACATGAAGTATTGATTTAGGAATTTTCTGGACATGACTGTGTTGCAACTTGTTCTTTTATATCACTTCTTAATATATGATAAATTGTTCTTATGTATGCTATGATGAGGCTGAAAAACAAATTAAGCCTGGCTATTTAATAAACATGGATTATAAACACTCAACTGCCTTCATAATTACTAATGGGGGTCCTGACATTCACTCCATGGTATGCAGAACTGCAGGGTGCATTGTGCACATCTATGTTGAACATCTTTACCTCACAACGGCACAGCCTCTCTGCACTCCAGAAGGCCTGGTTCCAAGTGGAATTGGGTGAGCCTGGGTGTTCCTCCTGATTCACCTGGGGATTCTCAAAGCCATGACTGGGGAAGGGGCTTTAGATACTGGGGAGGGTCTTAGGCTGAGCAGAGAAGGAGTTTGTCAGAAAGATCAGGAGTTATTCATGGCCAGAGGATAAGAGGAATCTGGACGAATTATGGAGGAAAAAAAAATACAGTAAAGCAGGAAGGATGGCAGCATGCAGGTATTTTGTCTGCTGAAACCCTTTGCTCTGGACATGTCCATATAATACCCAATACTAGAAGTGAGGGCCACACATTAGTACATGTCTTTAGTATTTATTTGTTTGATTCACTCAGTCAGCATTCCCCTTTTGAAGCCTCTAGAGTCAGACTGCCTAGTTTCCAAATAGGCTCAGCTACTCTCTGGGAAAGGGATCTTAAGCCAATTGCTTATCCTCCCTTGGCCTCAGTTCCTCCTCTCTAAAAGAAGCATGAAGTATCTCCATGGGGAGAGCCTGCCTATGAATAGACACCATAGTGAACAACACAGAGCCAAGAGAGGGAGAAAGAAGTCTCATGGTTTGAGTTTCTGTTTCCAATCTTATCTCAATGGAGTGTGATCTTTGGATCTTCTGATTTTATGAGGAAATTGATTCTTAAACCAGTTTGTGTTGGATTTGCAACCAATTTTTAATGTTTAATACAAATCTTCTTCAATTTGACTGGGATCATATGATTCTCTTTGTTATCTGTAAAGGGTCCTATACACAAAAGACAATATATGCTTATTAAACATATAAATGATCTAAAATTTATAAAAATTCTAAAAAATACATTAATTTAATCACTTGTGCATCAACATGTCATCCTAGGTAATTCAAATTCAATGTAAGTGTGTCTTGGCACAGGAAGCAAATTCTTCTGTAGAGAAACACATTAGTCCTGAGGACCTTGTTGAATGAATAGAATTCCGAAGAAAACTGCCAGGAGAGGCCAGAGATTCCGTAGGAAAGAACTAAGTTCTTTTCAACATAAGCATCTTAGTGATCATCTGCTCTGTTCCTTAACTTCCCTGAGCACCATTCTTACGTAAAAGGTGGAAAAAATAATATCTACCTTACAGCTCAAAGGATCTCATTTATAGGACTAAAAAGGACACAAATGCTGTTTGTTGTTCACCTCCCCTCCAGATACCTGGGGTTCAATTGGTGATGAATATACACCTGTCATATCAAGTACCTACAGGTGTTAATTTTTCCCCCTACTTAAATACACAATGGGAGTCACATTTCAAGAAGATCCGTGCAAACATTTGGATCTGGGGTGTGATCTTTGGTGGAATATTCAGTGTCCTCAACTATGAAAGGATTGGTTTCACTGGCATTTGACCCTAAGGTTCCCTTCAGCTCTGCTTTTTTTCAGGGCTCCAGAGGATAACTGTAACGCAAGTTCCTAACAGGGTCTTTAAAGGTTTTTTTTACTGCCTTTTTGTACCTGGGAGCTGCCGCTCCTCACCTCGAGGTGTTCTTGGTGGGCGTGGCGAGAAGCACCTGCTCCCGGGCTTTCCTTGAATCTTGCTCCAATTTCCTTATTTTAAAAGGAGTAGTTCTGCAGTCTCCGAGCTATTCCCTCAAGTGTGCTTTATGAGATCCAGTTTCAATCTCCTGGTGGTAGCTTTCAGGTCCCGTTACAATTCCCTAGAGCTCCCAGTGCGTGTGTGCGGGAGGAGAGAACCGGGGAGAGACAGAGTTGGGGCACGAGGATCTAGGCTCCAGTTACCTGTCCTCAAGGTCCCCGCTCAACACCGCCAAGCGCGCGGCGGGGCCAAGGAACGCCGCGGCCCCTTTAAGAGCCGGGCCCTGGCCGGCTCTGGGGCCGCGGGAGCCCAGAGCGCCGCGCGCCGCAGTGGAGTTGGGAGCGGGCGCAAAAGTTTCCTCCCAACTCCGGCCTCGCGCGCCGCCGCCGCCGCCCACTCCAGCCCGGGGCCTGGGGCCGGCCCTGCCACCGTTGCCAGGGCCAGGGCCAAGGCCAGCGCAGGGCCAGGCCGGGCCGAGCCTACGGTTTCACTTTGGCGGTCGAGCAGCAGCCGCCTGGGCCGGGCCCGAGCAGCAGCTGGAGGAGCGGGCCACGAACCGTCGTCACCGGCCACCGGCCACCTGGGAGGTAGCCCTTCCCGCCGCCGCCCCCTCCTCGATTCCCACCCGCCAGCGGCCTCCTACGTAGGTGGAAGGGGAGCTGCCGCGAGCCCCTGTCCCCGAGGGGTCTCCGGGGAGAGGTGCCGGGCTCCCGGGCCGCCAGCGCCCGGCCATCCCCCGAGTGGGGGCTGCATCCGCGGGGCCAGACACCTGTCGGTCGGACCTGGCGCGGTAGACCAGAGCCAGGATGAAAGTAACTGTGTGCTTCGGCAGGACGGGCATCGTGGTGCCCTGCAAAGAGGGCCAGCTGCGCGTCCGGGAGCTCACCCAGCAGGCGCTGCAGCGGTACCTAAAGACCCGGGAAAAGGTGAGCCCCGCGCGGTGGGCGTGCAGGCAGGACCCGAGAAAGGGGGCGCGGCTGCTGCGCGGGCTACCCACGAGTGCCCCGAGGCCAGCGCACCTGCCAGGTGCTCTGAGACCTGAAGGCGCTGTTAAGGAGACGCATAGCACCCAGGCGACTATTGGGCTCAAGTTGTGGCTGCAACTTTGATGTGTTGCTAACATAAGTGACTCAGGTGCCTTTGGGCGTGTGTGTGTGTGGAATGTCAGCATCCCATCGCCCTCCATTGTGGGCTCGTTAGAAATAAGCAATCTGGGACTCCAGTCCAAACTCACTAACTCGTTGCTCTTTAATATGATTTCCAGGTGATTACAATACCCTAAGAAGTTTGAGACTCACAGGTTTAGAACTCTTTTGCTGGGACACTAGGTGCTGCTCACTTGAAGTGTGATTTTTGACCCCTTAAGGCCCGCCTCACTTAGGCTCCGTGGAGTTAGAAAGTTTATTGGTGCAAATAACACACAAAGTTATAACTGATAAGGCCTTTGGAGTTTCAGCCTCATGAGCTGACCTCTTAAGGATTTGGGTAGGAATTTAGGTGGAAGGATGTCATTTGCCTGCATCAATCAGTCTATATTGAACGTGTTAACTGTAGATTCTATGAGCAATTACTTACTAGGTGAGTCCTGCCGGGTCCTGAGTGACTATTAAAATGAGGAAGATGCCCTCAGCTCTGTCCCTGAAGTCGGTAACAAGTAAAAATTAACCTTTTTTTTAAAAAAAAAATAATGCAATACATGTGCAGAAAATCTACCTATGCTCTAGAATTCACTCAGGTGTTTGGGTAATATGTGCCTTTGTGCCTTCCTTAAATGAGCACTTTGAAAGGTACCTTTTACTTTGTTGAATTCTCACATGGAACATTTTATATACCCAGAATTATCTTCAAACAGGGCAAGTCACAAACTCTTGTTTTAGGTGCCAGCAGTTCTCTTGATATTTGTTCTCATGTTATGGGATTTCCTAAGTAGTGTACATTGGCCAATCAGGTGATGGAAAAATGTAAGTTTTAATTTCTTTTAAGGTCATAGGTTATCCAACATATCCAAGTAGTTTTGTTTCTTTCAAGTATATAGTAGAGGAATTTAAGAAGTACCTGTACCTTCTAAGCTTCCACTATGAATTACTCTATAGAAAAATCTGATTCTGCACAAATACATGTGTATTTTACTTTGAGCATCAATAACTGGAGGATAGTACAGTGAAAGGTTTATTGGGATATTAAGTATAATCTGTGAAGCTGAACTCTTTGCTGATAGAATTGAGATGAGGGAAAAAATTTAAGGTGGTCTATAAAGCAATATGAGAATTCACCCTTTGTTTTTAGCATTACTACATTAGCATGTGTTATTTATATATGTCAGTTAAAAACAGATCTAAATGTGTAACCAATTGTTTTTGAAATCATATTTCATTAACTTCTGAAAGTTGGCTAGGGTTAGGAGTAATGATAATAGTATATCTTAAAGGATTATCTTATTAAGATAATAAATTAATTTTAATTTATTATTAAAAATAATTTGGCCTCCCAACTCTTACACATTTAGAAGTTTACTACAGGGCTAAGTTGTCCAAATATGGAGGTAAACCACAAGCTTCTAAATAACGTTCAGATAACTAACCAACTGATTTTTAATGCAATGTAATTTGATCTTAAAAGGTGTTAAAAACTGTTGGGATTCTGGACTGGAAGCATAATTTATTTCAGAGAATGTGCAATGTAATTGCATTGATCAGTTTACTATTAACAGACATTACATTTTTCTGTGTTTACATTTATATGTTAGTGAATGTGACATTTAAAGGTTACCTGCAGCTTATAAAATTTTCCTCATTTTTAGCTTTTAAAGTTTCAATTTGACAAGTGGTGTTTTCCTCCTCCCCATACTCCTTTCCTCTAGTTTCTTTTTAAATAATATAATCATAAAAAGGCTCAACTGATAAATGGCACTTACAGTGGAACAAAAATGTCAAGAAATACTCTAATTCTCTGCTTTTATTCATTGAATTTGAAAAATAATGGAAAAAGGCCATAAATGTCAAAATTCAATTAAAAAACAATTTATAATAAATTCACTTTTCTGTAAATTTAGTGAAAGATTTAAAAGATTTTTCCCCCCCGGACAGCAAAGTTTAAGCCCTGCACTCAGTAACAACTAACGCGTATTGTGCTTATTGCATGTAGCCTCTATGCCAGGAACTTTACGTATATTACATGACTTCACTCTCAAAACAATCTTAGAAGGTAGATGTCCCCATTTCACAGATTGGGGAAAAAAGGCATGAATAGTAAATTTGAATTGGATTGCTATCAGTCATTAACAACTTCACCTCATATGTTATAGACCAGAATATATGCATCTTTTTACAGATTTTGAAAAGACAATTGCCCCCTACTGATTCCTCAATATAGCAATCCCCCTCACCACCCCCGTAATGGGGATTGAACCCATGGCCTTACATATGTAAGGAAAATGCTCTACAATTGAACTATACCCAAGCCATGGGACATCAACAAATTTCTTTTGATTATACCTTTCATAGTTCAAGTGTACATGTTATAGGGAAAGGGACAACATCTGAAACAAATATTGTAGGATTTTCAAAGCAACTATAATAATAATCCTCAGCCTAATTACAAAAAAAAAAAAAAAAAAAATGGTCAAGGTCTTTTAGTCATCCAGGTGGAGAGAGCTATAATGAAGCAAACACAGTGAACATGAATTTGAGTTTTCCACTTTTGGGGGAAATATATTTTTCCTGAATAATTGGTATTAGAGCAAGGTAGATTTTAAGATTAGGATGGAAGTTGTAGTTTTTGAGGTTTAGAAGGTAGGGGAAAGCCCATAGAAGCCCTTCTGGATTTTGTAAACAGCATCAGAGGAGTAACCACCACCTGTTGAGAATAAACAAAGAAAACTGGTATTTGTGGAATGTTGGGAACCTGCTGAATCAACAGAACAGAAGTAGGTGAGATACTTAAGAACCAGGGGAACTCTTGGGAAGGCTCTAATGATATTCTGAAATTTGGGACTTTGAGGTTCCTGCTGCCAATGAACTCCATTAGAGAGGTGAGTTGACTAAGGGGTGAGAATTACAGGATGCCTTATCTTTGGATCCTGGTACTTTATCAGTGTCCTGGGCTCTAAATCCAATTTAGCAAAGTAGTTAGTGGAAAGGTGATTGTCTTCTTAAGTGGTCAAGATGGGAATCACTGAGTAATTAGTTAAATTTATCATCAAAATTACTGGTGTCACAGGTGAATGGATGATTGAATCACAACCTGTAGGGGTTCTCAATCCAGGCCTCCAATTTTAATGTTTAACATTTTGAACAGGACACATTCCCGAGTCCCTTTTGCCATTTTTTTTTTTCATCCAGTGGGTATGGAGTGGAGCCTAGGCATAAGTATTTCAAAGAGCACTCCAAGTTATTCCAAGCCCAGCCAGAGTTGAGAACAGGTTATCTAGCACTCATCTTTTGCTTTTGCTAAAGTTAAAACTCCATTTTAAACTCTTTTGATAGCAGATTCTGTTTCTTAGATACCTGTAAACTCCCCTTTCATTAAGTGACTGTCCCTCTATTCTTACCCTGAATCAATTATTTCCTGGGAAAGTACTCCAATTATGAAATTGCACATCATGAGTCCAAGTGAATAGGAAGAGACTCCTATTGTAATAAGAGTGTATAGTGTGTTCAGGAGTTCAAATGATTGAGATAAGAAGTTCATGAGCTAGTGAGCATGCTAGAATTTTAAAAATGCAAATGTATGGATCTGACTGTATATATGAATATACTTTTTATTTTAAAATAAATATTTGATAGACTTTTCAAAATGAAGCTTTTCTGTATTCAGCTATTTTGGAGAATTTGTTTTTATAAGTGGAGACCAGCTTTCCAGAACTTAGAATTCTCTGATAAGACTAACAACTCCATGATTAATTGTGGGATCAGGATGTAAGTGAATTTGTGCAGTAACAAAAATCTCGTATGATATGGTGTGATATTACCCTGGAGAAGTAGGCCCTAACGTGAATTTCTGAACTTTTCAGCATGTGATGCCTTGTTACCAAATAGGCTCTAAGGTTCTTATGTACATAGTTTAGGTCCAGACTGAATTCCTGAAATGTTTATTGTGTGTTTGACTTACTTAAGTGCTTTATTTCCTATTCAGTCTTCTCTTCTTTTGTATAGAGTAGATGTTCTTCCCTGAATGTGGATAGAACTGTTTCACTATCAGCTCTAACTTGCTTTGGCTTCTGCCACTGGACTAGAGTATTGGAAAGCTTCTAAATTTTTAAACATTGGGATCCTGGGGTGTGCTGTGACCCACAGATATAGTTTCTTAGGTCTTAATGATCTGTTCTTATTTAGTTGTCAGTGTCTAAAATTTTTGAGATTTCACATAAAAATAAAAATTTCGATCATCTTTTGGGGAAAAACAAATCAGAAACTCTCATAATACCTGGCTTTACTTTCCCACATGACAACTATCAGTTGGAACTAAGACACCTCTTTTGTCTTTAGAAGGAATTATTAATGCTGCAGTCTCCATTATTGTCCAGTGAGGGTAAATGATTATTGTTGGGTTTAACTTTTCTCTCTGTTCTTATTCTCTTACTTATGGCCCACTTAATGCATTGTTGCTATTTGTCTGGCCTCCTGGAAGACACTTGAGTTATGTTCCTGGACCTTCTCTTTCTCTCTTCAACATTTACAACCTGCACACAAGGTTTGCTGACCAGGGGTTGACTGCAGTTTGGTTCATTTGAGCTAGGGTAATTGCATTGTGTGGGATTAGGAGCCACAACTCTGATATGGAGGTTGGCATCTTGGGCTCAAATAGTTAGTGAAGTATTCATTTCCAGGCATTTCTGTGTTAGAATCTTTTTGAGGAAGATGGACAAGTGGCATTAAATTTTTATGAAACTGTTTTCTAAAGAGACTGAGAGTTAAAATCATCTGAG